CCGGCAGCCAAGAGCTATTTCCAAGAATGAGAGCTGGAGCCATTCCAGGGAAGGAGCAGCAAGCTGCACAATGCGGGTGTGGGACTTCCCTATCATTTTATGATTTCTAGCTGCACTGGGAGAGAACTAGCTTCTGCCTTGTTGTTAGACCCCAATTTTCAGCTCTGACCTCTACGCGTTATACAAAGTGGCTCTGTTAGGCATGAGGGGCAAATATCCAGCACCTTTGGAGGAGAACAGGGGGCTCGTGCAGCACTGCTGCTGATGGTGTGTCAGTGGCCACAGCCACGACAGGCAGCTACTGAAAGCCGCTAGCCCCCGAGAGTGGACTCCTGCAGGCTGTGGAGAGGGAGGAAGGATGATCAAGTGCTCTGGCAGGCAGGAGTGAGCTGGAAGGATTCAACTGCTCTTTAGGAATTAAAGTAAAACTTCCAAGGTGCAAATGTACTTAGCAGGACGTGAACCAGCCCATGGGTGGCGGAGGGGGGCCCAAGAAGGCAGAGGCTCATCTCAGCATCCCTGTACTTGTGGCCGTGTATTCTGCCTGCTGTCTTCACCTCTACCCAAAGCTCTGTGCTGATGCTCGCATCAGAGGCTGCTGACTCAGAGCAGCAGAGGGGCCTGTGTTGCACACAGTGAGAAACTTCATGAAAACTTTCTGTCGGAAAGATGCAAAGAGCAGCCGGGGGCAGAAGTGCCAGGTTCGTAGCTCCTGCCTCTGCTGTGCAGATGCTCCGGGACTATGTGTGGTTTGTCTGAACGCTTGTACGCTTCACATGAACTCCCAAGGACTCGATTTACTTCAAGCGTAACTATGGTTTCCACTTGCCTTCATGAGGGATGAAGGCAAGTAGTGTAACTAGCAATTGCTCAGCATCCCACAGTTGTTACTGGCGAACGAGACATCATCCCTATGCAAAGGATGTTTCTCTGTGCCTGGATGGAAGGCAGAATTAGGACATGCAGTATGTTCTTAAAAATCTCAAATGACCTTTGAGCTCTAAATCACTGTAGTGCAGGGGAGCTGCTTTTGGCTGCCAGATTAGCATCAACCCCCTTCGTTAGAGAAGGGAGTGCCTGGACACAGATTGCTGACAGCTGTTGGAAATGAGTCTGTTGACTTCACCAAGTGTATTGAGGGCAGCAGGGGCTCTGTGCAGATTCAAGGCAATAGGCACACCTCAAAAGCAAGAAATCATGCTCTCGCTTGATACGCTCAGCTGGGAGCCCAGGAGTGTAATTTAGTGTGGGACTTGTACAAAATGCGAGACAGATTATATTTTTAGAAACTGCAGGCCCTTGGGGATCTATTTAAGAAAAAGATTTTGCCAGGCTTGAACATGGCTCCAGATGTTTGAGGCTGGAGAGGGAGAGGAGATTCTTGTGGTGCGGCATCACCGAGCACGCAGATGCTGGAAAGGAGGAATG